TGCCGAGATCTCAGTCATATTGGAGATGCTGTTGTAATTTCCTGTGCAAAAGACGGAGTGAAATTTTCTGCAAGTGGAGAACTAGGAAATGGAAATATTAAGTTGTCACAAACAAGTAATGTCGATAAGGAGGAGGAAGCTGTAAGTAGTTTCTTAAGTAGACAGAAAATACTTTTGAAGAGCATTGTGACCCTTAACATTAGGTTGTGCTTTAGTCTATTCAGGCTGCTATAGCAAAATACCATGGACAATGACCAACTGACATTTATTTCTCACAGCTCTGGAGGCCAGGATGCTGGCAGATTCAATGTCTGGTGTGGACCTGCTTCTTGGTTCACAGACAGTGGGCTTCTCACCTGATAGAAGGGTCAAAGGAGCTCTCTGGGGTCTCTCTTAGAAGGGTACTAGCACTATGCACCTCCTAAAGGCCCTACCTCCAAGTACCATCACATGGGGATTTGGTTTTAACATGAATTTTGCAGGAACACAGACATTCAGTCTATAGTAAGGTAATTGCAACCCAACAGAAGGATCTAGTTGGAGGTAAAAATTTACCTTTTAGGAGCTCTTATGTAATCTTTATATTAACTTTTTTTTCTTTTAAAGATTTTATTTATTTGAGAGAGAGAATGAGATAGAACATGAGAGGGGGGAGGGTCAGAGGGAGAAGCAGACTCCCCGCTGAGCAGGAAGCCCGATGCAGGACTCGATCCCAGGACTCCAGGATCACAACCTGAGCCGAAGCCAGTCGCCCAACCAACTGAGCCACCCAGGCGCCCTATATTAACTTTCTATACAGTAGGCCCAGTAGGGGGCCAGAGAACCCCTATTTAGGGACAAAATAAAGAACACTCTAATTACTAAATATCCTTAAATTAAGGTTTTCCTATATAATCAAGTGCTTTTTTAAAAGAATATTTATAAACTAATATTTTGTAATTGTATTTTTAAAAACCTTGCTAGCCTTTGAATAAACATCAGTTAACTCTAAATGAAGGACAGTTGAAGGTTCTAACCTCATAGGATTATTAGGATTAAATATGGTAACAAAGTGCTTAACATAGTGTCTACGTTTTAAGTTTATAGTAAATATTAGATATTCTAGTCCCTTGCATGAGTAGTCAATCCTTAGTTTAAATGAAGACTTAAAGGGTGCCTGGGTGGCTCAGATGGTTAAGCATCTGCCTTCGGCTCAGGTCATGATCCCAGGGTCCTGGGATCGAGTCCCGCATCGGGCTCCCTTTTCCTTGGGAGCCTGCTTCTCCCTCTGCCTCTCTCTCTCTCTGTCTCTCATGAATAAATAAAAATCTTAAAAAAAAAATGAAGACTTAAAAATATTAGTAGCAAAAGTCCAGGGGCTAATTCTGAATTATTGGTCTCCTAAATTATATTGTAACTCCGCTGCCATTCTGGATTTTTGTTTTAATCTCCGATTAGTTCTCTCTCTTTTTTTTTAAGATTTTATTTATTTATTTGACAGAGAGAGACACAGGAGAGAGGGAACACAAGCAGGGGGAGTGGGAGAGGCAGAAGCAGGAAGCCCAATATGGGGCTCAATCCCAGGAACCTGGGAGCGTGACCTGAGCCACCCAGGCGCCCCTCAAATTAGTTCTTATATAAATATTTTTATATCTGAAGTATGAGCATTTTATGACATTATTTGGTATCAAGAATTTTTCAGTGTTTTCCTGTTTCTTTGGTTATTTCAGAAGTTGTTTGAATCAAGATGTTAATAAGCTCTACATCGCAGTTCAATGATAGGCCCTCAAATTCTTTTAATCCATTGGTTCTCCATTCAATTTGTTCCCCCCCCATTACAATTTGTTAAAGCAAATCTTTGTCATTGAGTTTTCCCAAAGTCTGGATTTTGCCCATTGTATTCCTTATGTCAATAAATATGCTCCTCTAACCTGTATTTCCTATAAACTGGTAGCTACAGCTCTAGAGGCTTGATGATACTCAGTGTTTTCTTTGTTTTGGGAATGAGAGAGCAAAAATACTTTACAGATGGTGGTATGTGTACCTCTAGTAGGTATGAGGTGTCGTATATTTTCTTAGCAGCCATAATATTTAGAATCATTAGGCCATTAGGGTTGTAATATATTAATACATTTCATTCCTTCATTTATTACCTGATTTATTTATTAGGAGCATTCCCATAAAGAGAAGCTTTCTCTTATAATTTGTACCTGAGCTACAGTTCATATGGGAAAGGCAGACTAGATACTTGATTCTTTTTTAAATTTATTTTTAATTAACATAATGTATTATTTGTTTCAGGGGTACAGGTCTGTGATTCATCAGTCTTACACAATTCACAGTGCTCACCATAGCACATACCCTCCCCAATGTCCATCACTCTGCCACCCCATCCCTCCCACCCCCCCTCCACTCCAACGCTCAGTTTGTTTCCTGAGATTAAGAGTCTCTTATGGTTTGTCTCCCTCTCTGGTTTCATCTTGTTTCATTTTTTCCTCCCTAAATACTTGATTCTTTTGATTTACCAGTCCTCAAAGTTAGTTTCATATCACTCTCCAAAGTAAGCAATAAAGGGTTTTTTGGTTTTGTTTTTAAACGTATATTCTAGGGGTGCCTGGGTGGCTCAATCAGTTAAGCGTCTGACTCTTGGTTTTGGCTAAGGTAATGATCTCATGGAATGAGCTCTGCTTGGGCTCCACACACAGCCTGGAGTCTGAAGATTCTCTCCCTCTACCTCCCCGTCTTGCGTGCACCCATGCACTCTCTCTAATAAATAAATCTTTAAATATATTCTAAACTAATGGGTTGCAACTTTCTTGATGTTTTTCAATGATTAATCTTTTGTTTTGTCTCAGGTTACCATAGAGATGAATGAGCCAGTTCAGCTAACTTTTGCACTGAGATACCTGAACTTCTTTACAAAAGCCACTCCGCTCTCTCCTACAGTAACACTCAGTATGTCTGCAGATGTACCCCTTGGTAAGATAATTGGTTTGTTGAGTCTTGTTTTGTAGATGGTATAATGGACTTCTCAATAATGAATTATGTTCCTGTCTTCTTTCAGTTGTAGAGTATAAAATTGCCGACATGGGACATTTAAAGTACTACTTGGCTCCCAAGATCGAGGATGAAGAAGGATCTTAGGTATTCTTAAAATCCAAGAAAAGAAAGTTAAGCTCTTTAAGAACTGCTTCTGAGATGCCAGCATGTACTTGAGTCTGTCACCAAATTTGTACCTCTGAATACATATGTAGATATCTTCTGTAAATAACCTATTTTTTCCTTCATTCTTTACAATTTGTTTAAAGAATAAAGTCCAAAGTCAAATCTGGTCTTGTTAACCTAGGAATATTTCTGCCTTGCCCAAAAAGTTGTGATTTTCATAACAAAAGGGTTTTGACTCTTAAATACAGTTTTAAGAATTTTTTTCAATTTAAATAAAAGTTATTTGAATTGCAAACATCACAAGACAGTGCCTTCATTTGGACCATGACTGTTGCAAGTATCCTAGGCAGTTCAGTTCAAGCTACCATTTCATGTAAATGTGCTTATTTTTCCAGTCTAGAGCAGCCTGATAAAAATACATTAGATATAGCAATAAAAAGTATTCCAAATACAGTAGGTGACAAGATATTTTTGGGGATTCATTTGTCAAACTTATTTTGGTATTCTTCTAACTTGAGTTCAAGAAATGAACAGGAGGGTAGACCAAGTCCTATATATATTGTTATTTTGTCAATTTTGTTAGCAAAAATTAACACTCTTTTTCAGAAGCTTTATGTACCCAAAGCTGTGTGGGCTTTAGAAGACGAGCATTGCTATAGGGCAGTGTTTCTTTAGCCTAGGGAGCCTTTTAGAAGAATCTTTAAAGATTTAGTAGATCTGTGATAGGGCCCAAGCAATATGTGCAAAAATAATTTTTCTAATATAAGTAGCTTTTTTTGGGGACTTAATCCTAGCGGTTATGAAACGGACTGTTTAAATGTTCCTACTAATTGTGCCACAAAGCCACAAGCTGGCATAGTACATGTTGAGAATTGCTTCATTAAAGTCCTTTATCCCGGTTTATTTTGTGCTTGGTGGTTTAAATGACTGGTTTCTTTTTGTAGTATCTGGACTGAGTTCTAGTTACTGGACGGTAGAACTCCCTGTACCCAGTAGGTCCATTACCTTCTGTGTGCCTGGAGGTGGGGAAGGATATTGGCTGCAAAGGGGCCTGACGGAAGTTTTGGGAAAGATGTAACAATATAGACTGGTGATGGTTCCAAGACTGTATGCACTTGTCAAACTCATCCAATTGTACTTTATTGTATGTAAATTATACTTCAATAAATCTGACATTTACAAAGCTTCATGTGCTGCAAAATGTCCCTCGTGGGCAGGCCTCTTACCTGGGTCAGGCCTGACGGTGAGGAGGGAAACTGAAGCACAAGAATGTGGGGCCACTCGAGAGTAGTGGTGGGGTACTGACCAGCAGAGACCGCGGCGCTCCTGCGGGGAAGGCCTACAGCCCTGGGCAGTGAATAGGAGACCCAGCAGTTAGGGTCATCCACAGCTTCACTGTCTTGGCTTCCGTCTCCCGTGGTGCCACTGAGCTCCCAACACTGCCGGAGGGATCAGGGAAAGGAAAAAGTAGCCGGTTTACCTGGAGTCTGACTGACCCAGGCGGCCGGTCACCCAAGGCACCTACACAACCCAGCGGAGGTGACTGGCAGCGACTCCCGCAACCCCACAGGGCGGGACTCCGCCAGAGCCTCCCGAGAACCCCCGACGCCGCCCGCAGGATGTTCCCACTAGCGCGGTATCAAAACGGGAAGTTGCGAACAGTGGAATGAGAGGACGTCGCTCCCGGTGACGCCACTTCCGGCGCGCCGCCGTTCGGCGTGCCACTTCCGGCGCCGAGGTAGGCGGGTAGGGCGGGGTGGCCGTTAGGTGAGGCGTGCCATGAGGCCTCAGGCGCCTCTGCTGCCAACCGTGAGCGAGCTGTCGGCGCGCGCGCTCCGGTAAGGCGTGTGTGCGGCGGGGCGGGAACAGAAGCGCCCCCCTCAGGCGCCCGGCGGGGCCGAGACTGCGCTCCCTGCCGAAATCTACTTCGCGTCCTGGGTGTAGAGCGTTCGCCAGCCCGGGCCACCGCTGGCCTCTTCCCAGAAACCGGTTTTGTTTGTTTCCGTCTAAATTCGCGTCGTTTTTTATTTGTCTTCCTGGCTAGGCTTGGAGACGGGCAGGAAGGTAGTGTGTGTGGAGGCGCATAATGCCAGGCACTGCGCTGAATGCTTTACTGATGCTTTTAGTCTTGCAACCCTCGCGTGTTTAGGGAGTTTGGGGGTTGCGGTGGAACCGGTAAAAAAAAAAAAAAAAAAAAAGCCTTTTGGGAACTTGGACTGGTACTCTGAAAACCTCGGTTTACGTTTTTCCTTCCTCTTGCAGAATTCTTACTCTTGGCCGCCAATAAGCATTCGTCTCCCCTCTCCCTCACACCCTGCGGTTTTTTGTTTTGATACGGGTGTATGAATAGGTAATGGCAGAGTATGTAAACTTTTTTTAAAAAGACGATACAAATCAGAGGCGATTAAATGCCCTCAAAACCCCCACATACCGGTAGTTTGGACTTTAAATTTTGTAGAATTAAATTTAGGTTATCATGTAATCGGGATCGCAACACTTAAAAACCTAGTATTTAATGCAGTTTGAGCTAACTTCAGAAAAGTATATAAATTAGCATTCTGGATTCAGTACTTGATTTCTGCACTGGTATATAATTGCTGCACCAGTATATAATATAAAAAGGGACATTTGCATTTAGCACCAATTCCATCATAATGCTAGTTATTTTAGGTTCACTGCGGGCCGCTTAAGACGGCTCATTAATAATTGGGATAAAGTATATAGAAAGCACTTAGAGTAGTACCTGGTATCTAACCAACACTGGGTAATTATTAACTGATATTATTATAATGATGGTTATTTACAAAGTATCATACCAGGGGAAGGCAAAGTCGTTATGGTTTCTGTTTTTTTTTTTTTTAATGTAGTCCTTATTGCGAAATAGTTAATTTTCTCTTTTTACAGATCCACTTCACCTTTAGAATTAGCTTCACAAAATATTTACTTGTTTTATTCATATAACTTTGTGATTTTATGGTGGAAAAGTGCACAAATTACAAATATTTCCCCCATTTAAATGTCATTGTTTTTTAATCTTATCTACTGTCTCTTGAACTAGTGACAAAATAGTCATGATTTCATTACTGAAGTTGGTTTTGAATATTTTGAACAAAAACCAGATATTATTATTATTTTTTTTTTTTTAGGAAGCTATAGAAGTAATCTGGAAAATGAAATCACTACTTTCAGTGCTTGGGGTAGGGCAGAGAGGCAGGCAAATTGGCACTGGTACAGTGCTGATTACCAGTACTGATAGTGCTGATAGCCAAATTTACGGGAAGCTCTACAGATTTTTTGCATTAAAAGAATGATTCCCATTAAGGGGGATCAACAAAATGCTGATGTGACTGTATTCCATATCCTACCCATTCTCCCTCCCTGGCAAGTAAGAGAATCATTTGAGCACATGCTCTTCTTGCTTTTTCCTGAAACAGGGACAGGGGCCAGGCAGTACTATAGCAGAATGACTGAAAATGTGGACTTAGGTGTCAGACTCAGATTTAAGTCACCACTCTTCACCTGCTCTGTGTGAGGCTTTGGAAAAATTAGGAGGCCCAGGAATATTGGTGACAAGATAAACATGAGGTCTGTTTCTTGGCAAATGTCTTGACTCTCGTTCTACCAGGACAAGCCAGAGTAGATACATATGAGAATGTTTTCACTTTGTCAAAGGAATATCAGATTTTAAGTCCAATGGAGTGTAAATTGCCAGTTGCTTAGTATGACATCTCAGCCCAAAACTCCCAATATATGTAACACACTGTTGTCACTTGCATACAATGACAGTTTTCTTTGTCTTCAGACTATAGCTGTGTCAGTGTGTTATGATGCCGTCTCGTACCAACCTGGCTACTGGAATCCCCAGTAGTAAAGTGAAATACTCAAGGCTCTCCAGCACAGACGATGGCTACATTGACCTTCAGGTAAATGCGGCAGGGAGCTGATGAGACTGGCTGGCTCTGTTTCTGTTGAGTTAGCAGGAAGACCTTCCAGGTGGAGGATTTGCTAACTGTCCATGGGGATTCGAAGGAGCAGCAAGAAGGAAACTCATCTCTGAGACCCTTTCAACCATAGTTTGCAGAAGGAGGGGCCTTGGTAGAGCAGTTTCAGACAAATATAAAATATTGTTCATTTCTAAGAATTTTTAGTTGTAACGCCAGAGCCCAGTAGTTACGTATTTTATTTAGTTTTTTCTGGAAAATACTCAGATTGTGTTTTGTTAAGTAGAATTTTTTTAAGGACTGTGTCATTGGTTCGTTTACACTTTAGTCAAAGCCAGTTCATCTTTTAAGGGAGAAACTAGCTGCTAAAGCCAGCAGATTGTGGGAATCTTCCTTCTTTCCTGATGTCATGAGATCCAGTTTATTAAAGGTATTCTTTGTGGCAAACAGTAAGTAAAACAGAATATTTGTTAAGTTTGTATTCTACCCTGATTCATTATTTATAAAATACTTAATGTGTAGCATCTCCTTTTGACCACTTCCCCTTAGAATAGTTTAGGTGGAACCAGGGCTAAGGAGGAAGAGGCAGGAACCCATCCCTTTAAATATAAACAAATCAATGACTCTGCACTCTTCGGACCCATACTTGAAGGAGAGAAGTTTTTTTTTTTTTTGAAAGGACATCTGGGAAGCTTCCAGCCAGTTAGGTCAGATACAGAAATGAGGCAAACCTTAGAAAGCTTGTCTCTGAATCTTAACTTTGAATTGAGCTTATTAAGTTAGGTTACTTGATCTGTGGGGTGGGCAACTAGTGCTTTAGAAAAAGCTGTTTCTAAAATCTTTGACTGTATGCTAACTTAACTTTGAATGCCAGAAATCACTAGTTTTGTTTACTTCTCCACAACATCATACTCACTCTTGAATCCCTATAGATTAGTACAACCTTCCATGTGCCAAGCACTTAATAAATACATGTTTAATCAATGAATGACCGTTCAAGTGTCTTTTGTTTTTGTAAGAAAATATTTTCTTATGGTGAATGGTATGTGGAATGAGATTAGAAGTAGAAAGAGTAACATTCTGCTGGAACTCTTCTGAGTGATTGTTAGAGCAATAACTAGAGCTTCACTTCCTGTTTGTCCCTTGCCTTTCTCTCCCAGGCTCTAGTGGGTAGTAGGACTTCCTTCAAGACACACAAAGCATCCACCTTGGTTCTTATTATCCTCCTTGCTTTAAAGTGTCTCAGTCCTGGTATTTTCATAATGTGCCTTTTTTGTTTTTTTCTCTTCCAGTTTAAGAAGAGCCCTCCTAAGATCCCATATAAGGCCATTGCGCTTGCTACAGTGCTGTTTTTGATTGGCGCCTTTCTCATAATCATAGGCTCCCTTCTGCTGGCTGGCTATATCAGCAAAGGGGTAAGTTGAAGGGTTTGTGGGACTCTGCCATGAAATCTTTAAAGTGTGAGTCTGGGCCCTATTGTTTTATATTCATATCTAGTACAGGATTTGCCAGCAGAAAGAAGAAAAGAGTTTTCTTTCAGATTTTGTTCTCTGATAACAAAGCATATGTTTCTTTTTTTGAGCAAGAACATGCATGTCCCACAGTTTCTGTGAGGTGTGTGGGGGCAGGTAGGCGCATTTTCCCTCTGAGATGTTGAGCAATCTTCACTGTCATAGTTTAGAACAGCAAAGCTGAGCCTTGTATTGAGGATTCCTGATTGATAACGGCTGTACCTGGAGTAGAATGTGTTGTTGCAGTTTTGCAGTGCCACAGAAAGGGTGAGGCTTCTATAGGTCTGGGGGCACTGACCAAACCAGGACTTGTGACTTATGAGTCTGATCCCTCTTACATTGGGTTTGGTTGGAGTTCTTGTTATGTTTCCGAGTGTTATCTTCAAAACCTAAAGTGTTGGGTGGTTCTTTTTCTTGGGCTATATACATACTAATAGACAGTGCCCAAGTTGATCTGAACTAATAATGATCACAAGTCATGTCTGTTCTTCAACACACACCAGGCCACGGGATGATGGTCATATTGTTCTGCAGAGGGAACACAGCCAACATCTGAAAAACTGGACACTATTGAAATTGGGAATAGTAGCACTGTTGCAATAAAATGGCTGCATATGGTTTTTAAGAAGTGAATCTGATTTGTCTTTGTTTCTTATCTATTTAAAATTATTACATGGTCACCAGGTGTTTACTTGGTGCAATCTGTGTTTGAACATCTAGCTTCAGGACCGTGCCTTCAGTTAACTTTCATTGCAGTATGCAGTATGCAGTATCAATTCCAGAGGACTCTGTTAATGATATTATGAATACTGAGAGTGGACATGACATCCACATGCAGCAAATATCATTTTACCTTGTGTGGTTTATAAAAGACTGCTTTATAAATAAAGATGTTAAGAGAATCACTGATAAGTTTTGTTTTTTCGGTTTGGAGTTTTTTCACTTTTATTACAGATATTTCAAACAAAACAGAAGTAAATGAAATAATGTATTAAACCCCTGTGTGTCTACCACTCATCATCAACAGTTATAAACATTTTGCTTCATGTATTCCCCCACCTTTTTTTCCTGTGTATGAAACCAAATACCAGATTTACATTTTGCTGGTATTCTTTTTGTTTTTTTTTTTTTGAGAGAGAGCGCATGAGAGTGGTGGAGGGCAGAGGGAGAGGAGAGAGAGAGAATCTTGTGGAGGGCAGAGGGAGAGGAGAGAGAGAGAATCTTAAGCAGGCTCCATACCCAGCATGGAGCCCAGTCTCACAACCCTGAGCTCATGTCCTGAGTCGAAATCAAGAGTCTGATGCTTAACTGACTGAGCCACCCAGGCACCTCTATTTTGCTGGTAAGTGCTCAATCCCAGGACCCTGAGATCATGACCTGGGCTGAAGTCAGATGCTTAACTGACTGAGCCACCCAGGCACCCCTATTTGGTCCTTTTTATAAGGGTAATGATGCTTCTGGTAAGGGGAGAATGCTCAAAATGGAACTGAAGGCCATAAAATGAGCATCTTCAGTATGCATCTGTAACAGTTTTTATATATAAGTTTACAGGTGCTATATTAATATCTTTGACCTTGACTTCATATTTTTGTTAGATTTAGAGACTTACTTAGATTCAGGTTTAGTTTTGTTTTAGAAAGAATATTTCATAGGAGGTGCTGTGTATTTGTTATGGCAGGTTGGTTTTGAAACTTCGATGTTAATCAGAATCATCTGGCAGGCTTGTTAACACAGATTCCTTGGTTCCATTCCCAGAGATTCCAGTTCTGTAGGTGGGTGGTGAGAATCTGCATTTCTGACAAGTTCCCAGGTAATGCTGGTGGTCCGTCAACCACATTTTGAGAACCATTGCTGTAACATTACATAAGCCCACATTGGGCTCCCTGCTCAGCAGGGAGCCTGCTTCTCCCTCTGCCTGCCATTCCCCCTGCTTGTGCACACATGCTCTCTCTCTCTCTCTCTGACAAATAAATAAAATCTTTGAAAAAAACGAGATTTTTAGATTGGGTTTACCTTAGATGAGGGAAAGCTTAAAATTAATGGGAAAAATCACAAAGGAAAAGGAGGATAAATTTAACCGTATAAACATTTAAAACTATACCTAAAAACAAGGCAGAGCAATTTTATGAGTGGATTCATTCATTTAATACATTTATATTTTGGGCACAGCTGGGGATCCAGGGATGAACAAAGTCCCTGCCCTCCTGGAACTCCCCAAATAGTTGAAGCCCTATTGATAAAAACACTAAACACCATTTCTTCCTCTTTGACCTGTGAATTGTACTCATGGGAATATACACTAGAATCTGAAAGGCCAAGGAAAACAATGGAGTTTATTGTATTCTGTACAGTTAGAAAAAGTGAGAGACAAAGTATCCAACAGTTGGTAGGAAACTGTGGTGCATCCCTTACAGTGGAATGATAGACACCATTAGTTGGCATATAACGTGTTAGTTTCAGGTGTACAACATGATTCAGTATGTCTATATTGCAAAATGATCACAATAAGTCTAGTTAACATCCATCACCACACAGTTAGAATTTTTTTTTCTTGTGATGAGAACTTTTAAGATCTGCTCTCAGCAACTTGCTGATACACAATACAGTATTATTAGCTAAGTCACCATGCTGTTCATTGCATCTCCAGAACTTACTTGTTTTGTAACTGAAAGTTTGTACCTTCTGACTATCTTCACCCATTTTGCCTATCTCCCACCCCCAGTGCAGAACTTTTCATAATATTTTGGCAGTTGCTTGTTAACACTAAGAGACTAAAACAAGGCAAAGGGTATGGTGTGTTCACAACTAGAAACTAGAATGGAGAAAAGAAGGAAATAAACGAAATATCTATGGATGAAGATGGACAATTTATTTACTTTATAATTTTTAGTGCTTTGCAGTTTTGCTACATTTTTTTTAAGATTTCATTTATTTATTTGAGAGAGAGATGGGAAGAACAGGAACACAAGCAGGGGGAGTGGAGAGGGAGAAGCAGGCTTCCCGCTGAGCAGAGATCCCGATGTGGGGCTCGATCCCAGGACACTGGGACCATGACCTGAGCTGAAGGCAGACACTTAACGACTGAGCCCCCCAAGCGCCCCTAGTTTTTCTACATTTTATAGTCAGGAGGAAAAGAGATGTAAACCTGTTTCGTTGGTAGCATACTATCCAAAGGAAATGCTCTGAAGAGTGTAAAATACTGATGTATGGGTTGAACCTATGGCTTTGTTTTATTTTAAAATTGGTAATTTGTATGGTACTAATGTGTTTGCCTCCTTCCGCCACCAGGGGGCAGACCGGGCTGTTCCCGTCCTGATCATTGGCATCCTGGTGTTCCTGCCAGGATTTTACCACCTTCGCATCGCCTACTATGCATCCAAAGGCTACCGGGGTTACTCCTATGATGACATTCCAGATTTTGATGACTAGCACCAACCCTTAACCCTGAGGAGAAGAGTCACAGATGGGACTGAGACCAGCTTTAAGATATTGAGCAGAAACTGGCTAAGGGCTAAGGAGTTCTGCAGTTTGCGATGTTAAACAAAAGAATGGCCATCCTCAAGATGTCAACTGAGCTTACAATTACAAATTAACTAATTAGGACATGCTCTATTTTTCATCTCCTGGCTCTGGCAAAAGCTGACAAGTTTTTCCACACGAATATGTATCTTGGAAGAGTAGCGGCGTTAATGGTGTGGGAAAGCAGGAGGTTACCCTGTAGTGGAGAGTGTTACTGCTGCCACCCTTTTTAGAGTTCAGCGTTTCTTTTAAATCGTCCTCATTGTCAGTTCTGGTAGCAAATGGAAAAATTTAATATGTCAAATTTCTTATTACTCGTAATTTATCTTGAAAACATCTAAGTATCTTACCCCTACACTCATCTCTCACTTTGTGTGCTAGTGGAAGACCTTGGCAAACCAAATGTCAGTGTGGGTGCATCTGTAATATTTTTTACTTGCTTTCTTATTAACAGCAGCCAGGACTTTTTTAAATCTCAGAGCAAGTTTCCAGAAGGTAAACACCTCTGTTCACCAATCCTTGGTCAGCTTTGATTTGGTCCACCAGTAAGTTGGCCAACATAATTTGGGTTATTCTGTTCTTCATAGATCAAGATGTTCTGTATATCGTGCCTTTAAGGACTGGACTTTGGCTGTTTCCTAAGGAAAAAATGTAGATAAGTGATTGTTATTTAGAGATTATAAACCTGTTGTTAGCACCTTGCATTATGATGTCATTCTGCTGAAGACTGCAAGACTCAACCTGGATTCCTAGATGGACTAGACTGCCTTAGTTTGATTCTGTTTCCTAGCTTGCATGAAGTGACATATTCAAAAGAAATTAAAATGCCAAAATCTAAACCTAGACTTAAAGTGAGTTAATTTCAAGTATATTTCAGAAAACATTTTAATGATTATATGAGATCGTTGATCCCAGTACCCAGGGCCATCTTCATATTTAGATAACTGGCCTTGTGGGTCAGACTGCATTTCAGTTGTCCTCTTACTATGAGCTTATGGACGTGGGCGACTAGAAGCCTGGAAGGGCCATCATCTGACATTTGGAGGGCTGTGGGTGGAACAAGTTTATTGGGGATGAATTCACTTTTGGATGTGTTAAATTGTAGATGTGTACTCTGCATCCACATGGAACTGTTGAGTAGGCAATTGGAAAGCATGGATCTGGAGTTCAGGAGAGAGTCTAGGCCAGGGCTAGAAATCAGGGAGTCATTATGGGGACCATATCTAAAAACTGAATGATACCACTCACAGAGTGAGTGCATATGAGAAAAACACCTATGACTCAGGAAATGAGGGACGGCGGGGGTGGGGGGTGACCTGGAGCAACCTCCAAAGTTAGGTGCATTTGGTAATGGGAGAGGAGGCTGGGGAGCCCAGTACTCTAATTGAAGTTCCTGGGTCTTGACACTGGAGATGTAAAGAGATCTATAAAGCTTTATCATGGGAACTGTTTGTAAAGCAAAACTCAGACCAGAAGGTTTTGGCTAAACCAAATTATTTGGTCTTTTTTTTTTTTTTTTTTTTTAGATTTTATTTATTGGAGAGAGAACGAGCAAGAAGAGAGAGAGGGGAAACAGACTCCCCACTGAGTGCAGAGCCTGAGCAGTGCTCAATCCCGGGACCCTGAGATCATGACCTGGGCTGAAGTCAGATGCTTAACTGACTGAGCCACCCAGGCACCCCTATTTGGTCCTTTTTATAAGGGTAATGATGCTTCTGGTAAGGGGAGAATGCTCAAAATGGAACTGAAGGCCATAAAATGAGAAGTAAGCATCTTGCGATAGAAGGTAAAAACGTTTGCTCCCCGACCCATTCTCTAAGGTTGTCTAGTGAAGTTTCTTATACACCCATCTAGAAGTGTTCTAAGCACATAAACATACCCTTTTTAAAACTCAGACTTCCATTGTATATTTCTATAATTTACCTTTTTTTAAATTTTTTTATTGTTATGTGAATCACCATACATTACATCATTAGTTCTTGATGCAGTGTCCCATGAGTCATTGTTTGTGCATAACACCCAGTGCCCCACGCAGAATGTGCCCTCCTTAATACCCATCACCGGGCTAACCCATCCCCCCTATAATTCCCCTTTTTTTCACTTATTCTGTTTGCTATTTCTTTCCATATCCATGGAGATCAGCCATATTCTTTTAAAAAATCTACCCTAGAATATAGTTTTACAAGCTGTGCATGTAGTCCTAGGGTCCCAAGAGCAGAGACCATGAAAGTCCTAATCCTCCCCTCTGATGTCCTCTAACAAATGGCCCTTGCTGTTCTCTGTGAACATTCAGGCTCATAATCTCATTTCAGGTGGGATTGTTTATTCAAGCCTTATTCGTTTGGGTTTTTAAAGATTTTATATATTTATTTTGAGACAGCGAGCAGGGGGAGGGGAGGAGACAGAGGGAGAGAGAATCTCAAGCAGACTCCATGCTCAGCGCAGAGCCCAACGTGGAGCTCGATCTCAACACCCTGAGATCACCACCTGAGTCAAGAGTCAGACGTTTGACTGACTAAGCCACCCAGGTGCCCCTCAAGTATTGTTTATTAAGATAAAATCAGACTCTCTGTTACTTTGCATTGACAGTAAGTGTGTGTTTTGGTTATTCATAAAAAAACATCTAAACGTTTGTAACAACAGTGAATGTTTCTTTGCCAGATGTGCCAAGATGTGCCAAGCACTTTTATTACATACTGTTTGATTTTAATCCTTGGAAAAAAACCCAAGTTGGATAATATTCTTAGGTAATAGGTCGGACATTTGGGACTCAAGGCAAAGCCTGAATTCCCCTTACCAAATATGAAAGCCCAAGTACCTTTAAGGGCCGGGCAAGTAAAGAAGGGGTGGGGGTGGGCAGAGCCATAGACAGTAGTGGGGACCTAAGTCAATTGTTAAATGTATATTTTATGTAAAAGCAGCCTCCCCCCGCCCCCACTGTTGGCTAAGCCAAGTGCTCTAGCTTTATAAGGATTTTCTTACTTGCAACAACTGTTAGACCTCTCGTTCATCATTTCCAAGACTAAAAATCCTCCGGGGTTGCATCAGCTGTTCTATGTATGATGGAGATTCAGACCGGTTGCCTCTGGATAAGCTTCCCCTGGTCAGTGCGCTCGCCGCATATTGACTGATTCCTTCTGCCAGGTTTTGTGAGGTGCTAAAGGCATAACAGGAAAAATTGGGCATGGTCAGCGAGGAGCAGAGTTTGCAAACTAGTGAACACAGATGTCGGCCTGCATTTTGTTTTTAAAAATGGAAGGGTTCACATTTTGATTTGGGGGTTTTCTTGAAAAATCACTAGATTTTTCTTCCATGCTGAGACGCTACAACCACCTGAAGCAACGTAGTAAAGCAGCTTCGTCTGAGCAGAATTCTCCAGTTCACCACAGTCCTCACCGTTGCTTGGCTACTTGTGTGCTCAACCTGCTAATTGTTTTTGTTAAGGGCAAGAGTGTGTCTTACGGTCCCACAAAGTCCAGCACAGTGTTTGGGGGCACTTCAGTTTATTAAATGAAGAACCAAAGTTCAAAGTGCATTTCCATCCCAGGATGCTATGTTATGTTCCTTGGAGGTGTGGACAGTTGGGCTGGTACTATTCGATTCAGATGGTCCTAAATGACCCTCCCGTCAGCTGCCTGGCAGGCCGGCTTCTCCTCAGACTGGTTGGTGCCACCTGGTGAGTCCAGTCTCTGCCTGGCACCCTCTGCTCAGGCCGTTGAGCCCAGTTCACAACCACCTGCACGTTCCGTCTGGCGGGGTCCTGGGGTGTCCCTGCTGGCTGACACAAAAGAGCCTTCTGTTACTGATTCAATGAGGGAAGCTGGTCGAGGGACAGTCAGTTTTGACCTTCAAAGTGTTATAAACCAAATTAATTCACCTTAGTGTCTTGTGTCATCTAAACTCCTTATCTCGAGGCTTCTCTCCTGGACATGATCCCCCAGGCTCCTGGCCTCATGAGTTCAGTTATGGTTTAGTGCCAGGCTGGGAAGGGTAGAGTCCTATTAGCTGTGAGGAGTTGGGCAAATCGAGTCTGGAGCTTCAATTTCCTTATAAGGTGGGGATGAGCCAGTTCCCACCTTCGAGGGTAAAGGTGAGGATTAAATAAAACCGTGTGGGAGGGCGCTTCACACACAGCCTGGCACCCAGTAAGTGCTCAGTTAATGGAAGCTGCTGTTTGAGGAAGTGAAGACGGTCAGTCCTTTGGCTTCAGGGAGTAGGTCCTCGGGTGAAGCTCAGGAGGGGAGTGAACCCATCTGTTATCCCTGGGGCCAACCTGAAGAATCTGCCGTCCCACGGAGTTAGGGGCCCGAGCTAGCATGGCAGTCGGGCCCAGCGGAGGCAAGGGAGGGAAGGAGAAGGTCTCCAGCCCCTGGCCCTCCCCCAGCATGCATCCGGGAGGCTGTGTGCTCCAGTCCTGTGAAACAAGAGGGGAAGGGAGAGGACCAGAGCACCCCACTGTAGCCTCATGGGGGCCACCGAGACCCCTGCCACAGAAGGCCCTGCGGGGAGGCCTCGGAGACCAGAGGTGGTGCAGCCGTAGCACTCGCAGACCGCCTCTCCTGGAGCTTGTTTTCCCTCACCTCTCCTCCTATGGGCCCTGTTTTCACCTCTTTCTCCACTTTTCCCTCCTCAGTCTTGCCCCTTGCTACTTGAAGCGTGGCCTGCGGACCAGGAGTTTGTTAGAAATGCAGAATCTTGGGCCTGCCCCAGCCCTGCTAGATCCAAACCTGCGTTTAAACGAGACCTCTAAGGGCTCCGTTGTGGGTCAGTGCCTGAAAAGCACTGGTTTGGGGCTCCCTGTGCCTCCTAATCCATTTCTTCCCTTTGGGCCTGGACCTTCTCTGGCAGCACCAATGGCTGAGGGGGGGGCACCCAGAATTTAGAGCTCCTCCTCCTTGATCTACCTGTTACTCTCCAGCCAACCCAGTAACTCCCAGTGTCTTGAGGAAGCTTCACAGAAACGGCACGGACACAGCACAGGAAGGCTTTGTGAAGATGCTTCGTGTGAGCAGTGAGAAACCAAAACAAGTCCCACAGATGGCGAAGGTCCATGGCAGGAGTGGGAGCACATTCAAGTGCTCTGAAGGCCAGGGGAAGGGAGCTGTGTAATTTAGGACCCAGTGAGAGGCAGGGTGTGTTTTCCTGCGTTTGTGGGAGGCAGGCCTTGCGGCTCAGGAGCTGCCCCCGAACACTGGAGGTGCTGACTTTCCTCCCCGGCTCTGTGGGTCTCCAATGCCTCCATTCTTTCGTTCCTTTCCCTAACTGGAGAAAGGCCAACTAGAAAATGCTCCGGTCTTGGCTCCGGTGCTAGGCCTTTGAGAGGGTTTTCTCTAGGATTAATATCCACCAAGTTTGCTCTGAGACCACCATCCTCAGGACCACAACTGAAAAGGTGGCAATAGCCGAATCACCAACACAGCTAGGAGGGTTCGTGGCCTGGCAGAGTGGAGGTGACTGGCACGAGGAGCTGGGGCTGAGTCAGATCTCTGGATATAGCTGCGGGCTCCTGTCCCTTCAGCCATGATCTGAACGTTTTAAAACTTCAGAGCATATTGACAGGGTACTTGCTAAGAGCGCCAAGTTTGCCCTTCTTGGGGATGTCAGAAAATGCCAGGTATTTTCTCCATTTAATGGGAGTGAAACCACAGTGGGACCAGAAAAGCATGGAATGAATGGGCCCAAGATTAAGGACTCCTGCTCATTCTGAACATTGACTCGAGATGGTCTTGCACTGCATTGCTCTCCCAGGGCTGTTGGCAGGGTAGAGTACATTTATTTTCCAAGGCCCGGGTCACCAAAACTTGGAACTTGAGAGTACTTTGGGGGCAAAATATCTCTTT